GTAGTAGTAGTAGTAATAATAATATATATATATATATATATATATATATATATATATATATATATATACTCTTATATATATATAAATACTCTTTTTCGTATCAGCATTTTGCTTTCGTCAGACTATTTAGTATTGCTGGCTTAGAACTAAGCTTCATAGTGGTGGTATGCAGCCGCAAACGCTCTGTTGCAACTCTTCCAACTTGTTCGTGGTATTGTGTGTCAAGAATATTACAACACGAGTCAGTTTCAACCACTGCCAGCTGTGGTTTGGGTCATTCTGAGCCCCTATTGACACACTCGGGTTATTTACAACCCCGAGTTCTGGTGTACAGCAAGACTTCGCAAAACTATCGATTTTAAAGTTTGTTCCTATCTCGTGGCTCAGGTCTTCCACAGAGTGATTCGTATTCAAGATGAATTCAAAAACGGGCGGTCAACGGACGGGAGTGTCTGGGAAAGTGCTGGTATGAAGGCCGGCACGCCTATATATATATATTGGCGTGGTTTAGTTATATTTGCTCGTATGTAGTTCTCGTGGTCAAATGTTATTGAAGGGGATGCCTGGTGAGAAACATCCGATCCTCCAACCTCAACACGTTGAACGTGCACTGAATCACTGTACTGTAACTTCGTCTCTTATACCTTCTGTATGTCTGTGTCGTTGCGTAGTATCGAAGGAACTGCGTAGGGAGCAAGGATTATTTGTTGCACTGGCTGAACATTCTATTGCTTTTATATTTAAGTTCCTTGGTAGCGGCTCGCAAATGTACTCGTACATGTATCACAAGATATGTATTCAATTTTATGTAGTCAGTATCTGATCAATGTATATGTAGTCAATGCCTAATGACTGTATATGTAGTCAATACCTATTCAATTTATATGTAGTCGACATCGTCTTGCATATGTCGTGCGCAAGTTTTTGTAGCGTAGAGTAGCCGTGCAGATGGCATCAGGTACGCACAGAGTTTGCATGTGTCATATGCTTCATTGACATGTGCGTGTTAACATCGGACATCTACCCACTTTTAAACGCCACGAATAGCACAGAGACAATTGTTAGGCCAGGTGTTTCAGGCAGTCTGTGTCCTGGGCCTGTTCAGCCTGATAGACCCTCCGTATCTACTAACGAACTGTCACACAACACCCGTTGTCGCGTTATATCCTGACGTGTGCACTAATGTATGCCATTGCATTCATACTTTCCGTCAGAATCTGAGCATGTTTACGCTGACGTACGGAGCTGTGGTGGTGCAGCTGCTCAAGGACCACGAAGACCGCACGATAGTAAACAAGAAGCTAGATAAAATGTAAGGGGAGGCTGGAGTACAGTGTGAGTTGGTGCAAAAGCATTAGGTGGCGTTGTATGTACTAGCCAAACGACCAGTCAGTTGTTGGCCGGTCGAACAAAGACTATGTAGGTATCTATGGACAGACACATATGTCGCTCCATGTCATGGTATGGGATAATGATCCTTACGAGCTGAACTATCGTCAGTTGTGGAGATCGAATATGTCATCGGGTGTCTGCTTATATACAATTGGCAGTGCTGAAGTAATTGAGTATACGTTTTTATCTGAGAATGTGCGCTTGTTGTGCACTGTACTGCGCAATTCAACTATACCAATGATGTATTAGGCTTAACCCTTATCGTGGGCCGTGGATATCGAGTACTTCAGACTCTCTCCACAACAGCTCTGCATATCCAACACCTCTATTTGGTAGCGCTTAAAGGTCAACAACTGAATGTATAATATCAAATACCAGAGCCCGACCTTCGAATTCCCATGACAGGCATACTTTCCTGTATAGTCGTATCCAATAATCTGACTACCGTGATCTAAAGCTCTCTGCCTGTGACACTCTGTATCGTACAGGGGCTATAACATGGGATTAAGAATAGCTGAAGACATGTTCAGTCGCATCAAGCTACCGAAGTGCGAGGACCTCATAGCAGCAGCCGAAGTGCTGTGCAAGGTAGGTTCAAGTGGGCACATGTTTAGCGGGAGTGTGAGGGCCGAAAATCTGAACCAATCAATCTGCTGTTTAGGCAAGAAGTGTCTGTCTCTGCCTGTGTCTGTGTCTGTGTATGTAAATATATATATGTGTGTGTGTGTTTGTATATGTGTGTGTGTATGTATGTGTATTTGTATATATATATTTATATATATATATATATATATGAGTGTGTCTGTGTGCATGTGTGCGTATATATGTGTGTGCGTGTGCTGAGTTTATGTGCTAAGTTAGTATGAGCCGAAAAGACCTGGTGTCGTTGATGAAGGATCCAGAGAGATATCTGGATATGTACGAGTGTGGCATGGAACACTGTGCTTTAAGCGTGTTGTTTATTGATATGACTTCGTCTAATATTTCGGTCAAGAGTAATGTTGGCTTGGTGTATGTGCAAGTATATGTACTATGGAAATTTTACCTGTCCAAAATACAATGGCCATTTACTTTTACGTTCACTTGTTATAAATTGATCACAAAGTGAATATATACCTTGTTCATGTACGTATTAGTACCCGACCTAGTTTTGAACTGTTTTCGTTGTGTTTCATTAAACCTAGTTCAAATCAGTCAGGTTTCACACACGGTGTAGATCCTGTACTATCTACCTACCCATACAACTGCCCTCACCTTATCAGTACAGCCAGGTTGCAACAATTTACTATACATGTACAACTATGGACGTTCAGGCATCTTAAATTTCTTTCATCTCTGTGAACCCCCAAAACCCCCACAACAGTATTTCATATTGCATTGCTGCTGTTTACAGTTTTAAGATATGCATCCACAAAGAAAATTGGACTTTGTTTGGTATGTAAGCGATAGTCACCTGCAGTGAGAAAGTGCCGCAATAAAACATATTCCGCTACATATGTATGGCCATTTCTTCAACTTTTTGTCCATCATAATCACACAACAAGTACCGTTTTCGATTTGTTTTTTTTTGTTTTGGTTTTTTCCCGTTCCGCAAAGCAAAATCCGATCTCTACGACTTTTCGTTCGGTGGTGAGTCATACTGTATTGTCTAATGTGTGCACTAAAACAGTGAGTGTGTATCTTCCAATTCACATCACCACCACTTATCGGTCAACAGACAGCCTTTAAAATGTACCTAGGTGTGGTACCGGTGACGAAGGACTGGGCAGACTCAAATAAGGAGTTTTCCCTGGTGTTACCCGACAATCCATTGGAGGACTTTGTTGAATTGCCCGAGAACGAGAAGACGCTATTTTATTCGAATGTACTGCCAGGAATTATCAGGGGTGGACTACAAGCGGTATGAACGTATGCACACAAGTGTACTTTATTCAGTGATGCTTGATCAGCTGATGATCTCGCTTGTCATACTTGCGGAGACTCTCGTGGCGTGTCACGTTTCTTGGTCATAGTATCGAGTTAACGGGCCGATTCTCCATGTAGAATGGGATAATGTGCAGACATACATATTGAACACTATATGTGGCTAAGGTCCAGTAAAGCCATCGATGTACATATGTAAGCTGTGTGGGTGTGTGTGTACTGTGTCTATAATATATATATATATATGTATATACATATATATATATGTCTGTGTCTGTGTCTGTGTATGTGTGTATGTGTACGAATGTGTGTATGTGTACGAATGTGAGTATGTGTGTATCCTTATCTATGTCTA